GCACTGTGATCTGTCATGAACAAGATCCTGGCTAGTCCGAGGAGTCGAGTGGAAGAGATTTACAGCAACGGTGCTAATAGACGGTCTGAGCATCACTGCGGTGCCTGTGCTGGGAAGGGACAGATGGATTGAACTTGCCCGTGGCTGAAATCACAGGGATATGGGATGCCATTCCCACAGGTCCCTTTCCCTCCAGGTGATAATGTTAATAGAGCAAGCATTCAGACGGGAGAAACTCCATCCCGAGGGCCATGGGGTTTAAAGGAAGATTCAGACACATAATCTGAAAAATTATCAATCACACAATGGGAAAATAAAGCCCATTGAGGTCCAGGCTCAGCAAAGCACAAAGGAAGGAAAAGCATAGCTAAGAAAAACATTATCTTTAATGATGATCTTGCGTTAATAGTTTCTCATCTAGCATTTTTAAAACTTCTTGATATAGGAGGCATAATTTAACTTATAAGTGAACCTTTTTTAAAAGGGGCTTTCTGGATCTGCCTTGCAGTTAAGAGAATTTCTATAAGCAATGCTAAATAGAAGTGAAATTTGTATCTGGAAAACTTTAAAGAGCTAAATATGGAAAAGTGAGGGAAAAAAAGGCAGACCGAGGTAGAATCTCTTCTTCTAGAAAGTGACTGAAGTTACTAAAGCCCACAGGAAGATGAGGAGTTCAGCAAGGTAAAGCAAAGCTGACCCAGGAGCAGATTGTCGGGCACTAGCCATAATAGCAGCCAGCAATACGGTTCAGGGAAGAGCCAGCCAAAGGTGATGTTGCTCGGGTCAAACCAGGAACTTCAGCTGATGCAAACAGGGAGATAAGGCGGCTGCAGGAGCTAGATTCCCTCTTCTTTAGGCAAGGAAGCCTTAAAATTGATACTGACATTGTACTTGTGTGTTTCTAAGCACTGGAACAGTGGTAGAGCACACTGAAATGTCTCCTTCCCCATCAATCTCTGTCAGAACTGAAACTTCAAGTTTCAAAACCAAACTTCTGGCTGACTGGCAGTCTGGCAAGCAGATTGCCAGCTAAGCATACAGTTGCTTTTTTGTTTCCCATTTGGCTGGTCCCAATATCTAAATATACTTCAGTTTGACTTTTAGCTCATTTCTTCCTTTGGACTGGCTATTATTTCCTGTTACACACAATGTATAGGGTGGAAGAGTAGGGAAGTTGGGCTTGTGTGAGCATCCACTTAATTCCCCAGGCAATACGTACTCCTTGTTCCTGTTGGGGATGAACTGCAAGAGTATTTATTATTGCCTTTACACAGAAAACTCCACAGATTCAGACTGAGAGGCAACACACAGCACTATCGTGTTCTCTATGCTCACTCCTAAGAGAAGAGATGGAGGAAAGAGCACGGGAACAGGCAAAACAGACTCTGATGAGGAGTTTTGCACTGGGCTGGCTGTTTTTCAGCAGTGCTTTGAGCAGACCCCGTTTGGATTTGTTTCCTCCTCAAGAAGCCTCTTTCCTTTCAGATCTCATGGAATTCTGAATTAAGCTTCCCACTCCAACATAAACCCATCAACACTGACCCCTTCAGATCTGATATACAGTGTGTAGGTGGAACGGAAGAGTCTATCCGTAGCCAAAATATGATTGGTGTGCATTTTACGCAAATACAGGAAAAAAGTTACAAAGAACTGAATTTAAAAACATCATTTATCATTTCCAGCCTACGTTCTTTTTACAACACAAGAGCCCATTTTATTCCCATCGCTGTCTAAGCCTGGCATGCATGAAAGCTCCTTCCCAAACCAAACCAGCCATCTAACCAAAACGGTGTCCAGCTCATGTCCAAGCCAGCCTCAACTAAAAAACACAAGTACCTCAGCACAGCTTTAGTTTGAAGTATCATTCCAACTTGTCACAAATCCTTTGTTAGCTACAGTGTTACAATCTTCCCCCCCCCCCCATGGAAATAGCTGCAGTTCTGTTTCATTGCTAAATAGCAAGATAAGAGTCTTTAAAAAAAAAAAAAAAAGACACAAACACAAGAATCCAAAGTTGGTGTTATTTTTTACTTGAAGACTCTCTGAAACATTAAAAAAAAGTATTGTTACAGTTAATTAACTCCTTCTGGAATGAAGTTGGACATGCTAGGTCAAGGTGGTGATATGGAAAGGGCAGTCTGACTTTTACAAAACTGATATTCAAGCATCATCAACACACACAAAGGACAGGCTCTTATGCACATTTGTTACATTGCAACCTTCGCTCAGCCTCAGTAAACATCTTTGGAATATAGATTTTTAAAAAAATAATCAAGTAACTTAAATATTCACAGGACAAAACCATGACATTATTAAAAACATGAACAGTGAGATTTAGAGAGATCAGCAAACGCAGGCTGCCTACGGACAAGCAAAGCAGAACCTGCGGAAGTGACGCTACTCACAAGCCCAGGTCTGCCACACAGGGGCTGGATTCCAGCAACTTGGAACCAAGAGGCAGTTTTGGAATTCGGTTACTTGCCTAAGGCAGGGAAGCAGTAAGAAAAGGTAGGTGTGCAGGAGGCAAAGGCAAGGTAAATCAGTGCTAGAAGTTCTTGTTAAACCAGAAGTCTAGAAGTACAGCAAGGAGGAAAAATTTTTTTTAAAAAAAAAAAAAAAGGTTGTTTGTTCTTTTAAAATTAGAAGTTAGCCAAAAGTTATCAGTATATACTTTCTATATTGCACGCAGTTTTAACGTAACTGAAAAATTAGATAGCCCTGCATTTATAACAGCTACATTTAAATATATTGCAAATGGAGTTAGCCCATATAGTTCAGCTTTTAAAACAATTCGACGCTTTTCCCTAACAACAGCATACAGCATTTGTGTCTCCTGTCTTCTCAAGCCCTCTCCAAACTAACAAAATACGCCATTTATCAAAGACAGTGCTACTAGTTCTCCTCAGTACATCACAGATTTATTGCCTTTTTTTTTTTTACTAGTGACAAAGGCTAAGATCTAAACTTTTAGAGAATTTAAGGCAATCCTACAAGATCAACACCTTAAGGGCATTTACGGCACACAGTGGTCTTCATTCAAACACCAGGAAAAGTTTGATATTTAAAATAAATGACAGGAACACTCAGATTTCAACCAAAAAGACCCTTTCAAGCATTAGCTATTATCTTCCGAACACATAACCCAGCACTGAAGTTGTAAGTCATTCCAGAGCACCAATGTTCAGAAAAATAAAAAAAAGAAAGAAAAAGTCAAAGTAGGAAGTTCCAGGACATCTGACATAATAACTCATTCTTACTCATCTAAGAACTTGTTGGAAGATTCACTCGGATGTTTGGACAGCTGAATCACTTCTTTCCACTCATAACATGGAGGATGAATTATGATTGGATATACTTAAAAAAGCGACTTACAAAGAAATGTTCCAGAGTAACAAAACCCAGGGAGTATTCTTAACACCTTTACAAGCTGAGTCACCTGCAAGAGCTCTGACTATTGTTTTTCCCAATACTTCTCTTGTATCCCACAGAGTTCATTATGAGCTCCTTGTCTGATGTTCTATCTTCTTAATAATCACTAGGAGAGTCTGGCTTTTGAGAGTCAGGCTACAGTGAAAACAGCAGCAAGAGCATTTCTACGTTTGCGGTCTTAATTACTCACGACCAAGTTTACTATTGACACAGATTTATCAACTGCCAGTCCTGCAAACCCACTCAGATGAACAATTTAAAACAAACAACAACAAAACGAAAACAAAACAGAAAAACCCAGCAAGAACAGGCTCGTCCAAAAACCTATGTGCTCAGCATTAGGCTAACCCTTCCCTTGCAAATACTTCGGAAATTAACTGAAAGAATATGGAAAATTCTTGACAAGCGATGCAAGATAACACTGGCCCAATGCGCATGTGCATTCTTTTTATTTCTATACAGAGTGAAAACAAATATTGTACAGAAAACAGTAGACTACAGGGGTTTTTTAAAGAAAGAGTTAGGGTAATTGTTTCAAGATGGTTTTGTGAAAACAGAAAAGATGATTTTCTGTAAAAGAAATTAAGAAGCAGTTATTTCAACTTCCGACCAAGTACAGCCTGACCAGATTTGCAGTAAAATTTGATTAAGCAGAAATCACTGATGATGTATTAAAAATAAGCAGAGTCCTACTGCCATCCAGCAGGATCAACAGGTAGGATTTGCACTCAGCAGAGAACCCTGCATGTAAACTATTCCCATCTGAATCACAGTCATTGAGACAAACAAGACTTCGTGGTGCTGCCTGTAATTTTTTTCTAGAGAAGAATTACTTTGCCAACAAGCATGTATCGTTTTCTACAGCCTCTTCTAAAAGAAATCGATGCAAATAGCAGGTTTCTGGTCAGGCAGAGAATCCATACCACACAGAGCACTTGTGGTAACTTCCATCTGGGAGGATGGCAAAGACAAGCTCTAGCTTTTGTTCAGAGGACAACTTCTGCTCCTCTAAATGAAGACAGCAACTCTAATCTCTTTGGAAGAAGAGAGACGGGGGGGGGGGGGGGTTGTAGCACTCATTGTCATAGCAGAAAGCAGTTTTTTGTCACATAAAAAGCCTGGAACATATTCAGTAACTGAAGGAACTTTTTCCCCTCAGAATTTCTTCAGAGCCTAACTAGATAGATTTACACGGAGACACCTTTTTGAATGCTTTAACAGCAAACAGGTTAGTGCATTTTCCTTGCTTATGTTCCCTAATGCAACAAGTACACTGGTTTACATTCTGTTAAAAAAGAATAAATTCTTATAGAACAAGTCATTCAAGCAGCCACATGAATTATTTCTTGGCACTTCCCTGCACACAGACAGGAGAAGTTTCAGCCATTTGCAACAGCATGTTTTAGTTTTGAATACCCGATGCCAAAGATGCTTTTTTTTTTCCCCTCTGAATTCATGAAATGCATCAATATTACCATGACAGGAGTCATTCTGCTCTTGAAGCTGAAGGATTTGACATTTATCTCCTTTTGAGTTGGCGACTCAAACACTAATCCTGCACGCAAACAAAGCTAAGATTTATCTGTTGTAGCAGCAGGGTTCACTGGGCGCTGCCTTACAGCGTTCGGTGATGAGTTTCTGTCAGACACCTCTTTACCCTCTGTTTCATCATCTGAGATATCTTCCTCATCTGCTTCTTGCTCTTCATCCAGCTTTTTCAACAGCTGAGCTGACTCTGGCGCTAGCTTTCCTTAAGGAGAAAGGAAAACGTACATACACAAATAAATACCATTACCATGTGAAACAAACATTGGTTTGGGGTTTTATTTTTTATAACATCACGGGCTAGCACAGAATTTTCATGACTTTAATCCAGGTAGTACTTTCCAGTATCAGTCACTTAAGCTGCTATCTTAGGTAGAGTTGTTGTTGGTATGAACTCACCCACAGGTCAAGTATTAACGGATTACAGACTATCTAGACAAGTTAATACAAAACTTCCTCCAGCTTTGAAAAAATGAGTCAGGTTCCTACAAACCATAAACCAGCATTCAAACATTCTTCCCTGACTTTTTTAAGATTACATTGAAAAGTCCAGAGACTAACCCCAAACTGAATCACTTACTATCCATAGAAATGCAAATTCACTTTGCCCCTAAAACTCATGCAAACCCCCAACTTAGCAACACAGAGAGCTCCACTCAAAACTTCTACCCTTATCTCCCCGCACATAGGAAATTTGTGTCTTGCAGGTATGAAAATTTTTCTATCTCCTAAAAAAGTTTTTAAAAAATAGTTCAGCTTTAGCTAAGTACAAAACACAAACCCACTATAAACCCTAAGGGCAAACAGCTGCAGGTAAAGCACAGCACCAGTCACAAGTGTAAACTTCACACTAAATCTCACGTCCTGCAGACACAAGTTAGGTATTGATATTTATTAAGTAAGATTTACCAAACAGCTTCACTGAATTAGAAGTACATAGCGGGCTTACTTGAATAAGGGTACTGTGGCGGTCTGTGCCTTTTGGATGGACAGATACAGTCTGCCAAGAACACCATCACCTGAAACCAAAGACAGACAAGTTTAAACCTCCAAACATCCCGCACATTAGAATCACAGAATCATTTAGGTTGGAAAAGATGCTTAGGATTGAGTCCAACCGTTAACCTAGCACTGCCAAGTCCATCACTGTCCCTAAGCATCACCGGTCTTACTGTTAAAGACCGAGGCAAAGGCAATACACAGTAGTCACAAGCCAATCTGTTCCAAGCACTTCACTTACAAGTCCCAGTATCAGTCCTGAGAATAGAGTTGCCAACGCAAAAACAGCATATGAGCCCCAGACTGGTATTCCAACATTTTCTGTTAAATAACCATGGCAATGCTGGAATAAAAGAGAAGAGAATTATTTCAAGAATAGCTGACTATTGTGTGTATTAAGATAAAGTAGCGATCTAAGCACATACCCTGATCCACATTGATAATTGAAACAAAGCTGACATACTGCTCATCCTGAAACAAAGCAGAAAAAAGTAATTGAAAACATCTTCAAGCCAGTCACATACCTGCATCTTCTGATGTGCCTCGTCATTATTTAGTCCCATGTTGAACAACTTTCTGCTCATGTCTGATTTCCCTCCCAACTACTTTGATTTTTATCTTCCGTTTTGTCTTTTACTTCAGTAAACACTCATTTCCCATGAAGCTACCTTCAGTACCACCATCGGCTTGTACAGTACTGCACATATGGACATCTACGAATTCACAAACTTTCTTGACTTGGATCTGCTAACATATGAATTTCAGTTACTTCTGTTTATGTTCTAAGTTACATTTGGACCCACAGTCTATGAGAAGCCAGCTGGAACTCTACTCAAGATATTAAAAATTAAGCATCTGGACATTTTATTAAAACAAAAAAATTAACCTATTAGAAAAAAATCATGTTATAGAAGAACTGAGAGATGTTCAGACATTCAAGTTTCTCACTTGTATGTAAATATGGCAAAAGACCAGGCTATCTGCCATTTACATCCTGACGATTCTGACAGTTCCCTGTTATAGTAAAACTTCAGCATTAAGTATTCACTATCTGTAAAGGAAAGGAGAATTTGAAACATTAAGCCAATGTAAGTTGGTAAGAAGCCTGCATATATATGCTCAAAAAATGGAGCTGGTACCGTACACTTCTAATAGAAAACTTATTAATCCTAAAATTAGCACCCTGCTCCACACATTCCTTGGCATGGGGTAATATTTTGTAGCTCAACCACACAGTTTGAAGATTCAAACAGCATTGCAAGTAGACAAAGTAACAACGCTGAGCTTCCTAGAAGAGCAACAAAAAAATGTAACATTTCAGTCTAGCATAACACTTCATAAACTGAACACTGCTACAGTAGTTAGCACAGAGGTGTTTCATAGAATCGCTCAAGTTGGAAAAGACCTTTAAGATCACTGAGTCCAACCATTACCCTAGCACTGCCAACTCCACCACTAAACCATGTCCCTAAGCACCACATCTACACATCTCAAATCCCTCCAGGGATGGTGACTCAACCACTTCCCTGGGCAGCCTGGTCCAACACTTGACAACCCTTCTGGTGAAGACGTTTTCCCTAATATCCAGCCTAAACCTCCCCTGGCACAATTTGAGGCCATTTCCTCTTGTCCTATCGCTTGTTACTTGGAACAAAAGGCCAACGTCCACCTCACCACAACCTCCTTCCAGGTAGTTGTAGAGAGCGATCAGGTCTCCCCTCAGCCTCCCCTTCTCCAGACTAAACACCCCCAGTTCCCTCAGCCGCTCCTCATCAGACTTGTGCTCCAGACCCTTCACTACTCCGTTGCCCTTCTCTGGACACACCCCAGCACCTCAATGTCCTCCTTGTAGTGAGGGGCCCAAAACTGAACGCAGCACTCGAGGTGGGGCCTCACCAGTGCCCAGTACAGGGAGACAGTCACTGCCCTGGTCCTGCAGGCCACACTGTTTCTGATACAAGCCAGGGCCAGGATGCGTTTGGCCTTCTTGGCCACCTGGGCACACTGCCGGCTCGTATTCATCGGCTGTCGACCAACACCTCCAGGTCCTTTTCTACCGGGCAACTTTCCAGCCGCCATTGCTCTAACAGAAGATAAACCTTGAACAATTGGGCTCATTTGCTTCAACCACCTCACTCTCAGTTACTCAACTACTCTGAAATCATTACACAGTACATGCAGCAACAACTAAAAGCACTTCAAAGCCACAAAACTAGAAAGTATTCCAAAGAGCTGCTGCTTCTCAGACTATAGTCTCCCCACTTTTCCTTCAAGGAAGGAACCTTCACCCTTCCACTCTGCTTTTAACTTTGCCACAGATCAGTCTTCTTAAATAGCCACCCTGTATCTTACAACTAGGTTGCTACATTATTTTCCAGTTTTTATTGCTAATTTCCTAGAATTTAACTGGGCAAAACATCTTTCTGCTGTATATTCAGAACTTCAAGCATCACTAAATTATCTACAAGAGTTTAGTAAAACAATACATCCACCTATAACTATTTGCAGCCTTAAAGTAAACCCTGCTCAGGACACCTTTGCTATGCTAGTGCACACAATCCTCCCACGGCTGACGGAGCAGGCACGAGCACCCACCCATCACATTCACACATTTCTTACCAGTACAGAACTGCTGCGTGAGCTGTTAACAGGGAGGCAGCACCAGGCACGGCACACCTAAGGATCTGCCCCAGCATGTCCTTAAATTGTGCATGTTCGACAACAAAATTATTAGAAAAATCATACCAAAACTTACAGGAAAGAGGAAGGACCAAACCATGATGAAACTGGTTCAATAGATTTCCATTCCTGGTCACTGATAAAATTTATGAAATCAGTTTTAGTTCTTGCACCCTGGTATCTCCTGAACTCTCCATCTTTACAGCTATAAAACAAGCAAAAGAGTCCTTTATTTTAGACAGTCCAAGCACGCAGCATTTGCTTCCACTCAACAGCTTCCCTCCCATCACCTTGCCTATATTTTTTTTTTTAGTTTTACTTTGCTTTAGATGGTATTGGCACTAAAATGTTTTCCAAAAATCTTGGGAATCTACAAGTATTTCTAGAATCTTGACTCCAAGTGTATCTTGGCTAGCTTTAGGTTGCAATTCCATAAAGAGATAACGATCTTCCTAATGCATTTGCCACACAACTGCATTAAGATCAAACTACAGTGAAAAGATTGCAAAACAGAAACACGTGTGAAAAGATAGAATAAATAAGGCCTGAAGGGAAAAGAAAAAAAATCAACTGGAAGTACTGTAAGGGCAGAGCAGGTGAGACAGAGGTTGTCTCTGTAAAGTAACTCCTGTTGTTGAACAGCATGGTAAATCTCATTCATTTGCCCCAAATCAAAGGAAAAAAAAGAGTCCCCTCTCCTCCAAAATATCCTGCTGCATTGCATACTTACTGATAGATGGTAGGAAGAGCTGTTATGATAAATCGTCCACTTAATCCTGTAAGAAAACAGTTATTTTCAGAATAGTAAAGCATTCTTACATAAGAAAGGGCAAGAAATGTTAATATACACCAAAACAAAAACAGCTGCTCCCAGGTATCAATCTTTAATTGTGATCAAACACAAACTTGTGCATATCAAAGTACTGCACACAGTCTAAAAGAAAGGTCCCTGGACAAAGAGCAAGAAAGTTTCTCCGTGAGGAAAAAGAGATGTCCAGGGATAACCATTCTACTTGACTATTTTGTCTGTAGCTCTCCAGAGATGCCTCTTCTTTTCCCACATGATCTGCAGCCTCCAGCGCTTGCAGAAAATAATCCAACTGAGGCAAATTTCAAAACTGCTTATGTGATTTTGGAGAAAAGTATCAGCATGGAGAAGGTAATTTTTACAAACCCCACACAGACACGAGAGTGATTCAGAAAAGCAAGCTCCATCTGAGGGACCCCCGACTGCTTGCACTCCCTTTTGCCAACAAAAGGAGGTACTACAAGAGGGAAAGCTGAAACCACGTTTTTTTGCTCTGTATGATGCTTTAAAAGTATGGTCAAAACCTCCATGAAATCATCAAAAATCGCTCTCTAGAGAAATCCTCTTGTTCCCTTTATCTATGAAGGAAGACTCGCGTGTTTAGTCTACATATAGTAACCTGCCTTCAGTGGAGAACAGGAAAAGATCTTTATCATTCCTATTGACTCTGTTTATTTTCTAAAAGCACACAGGCTCGCACCGACCATCTCCC